TCTATCTATCTATCTATCTATCTATCTATCTATCTAATCACACATCTATCTATCTATCTATCTATCTATCTATCTATCTAATCACACATCTATCTATCTATCTAATCACACATCTATCTGTCTATCTATAGATAGATAGATTTCACGGCAGGTAAAGTGTTATCATTTTGCCTGTGAATGAGGACAGGAGGTGCTGTACTTTCTCGGGTATCTCTGCTCGTACTGTAGCCTCAGCTTGTTTTAGAGGTGACTGTAGGTTTTGTTACACTGTGAACCCTGGTGTACCGGCCTGGTTCAGCAGAATATGGAGATGAGTGGAAAGCGCAGGCCTCTGCCCCCCCTCCTGCATTTCTGTTTTTTTCTGTTAAGCATGGAAAGCAGCAGAAGCTCCCCGCAGGAAGTGTTCATCATTTATTCAGGATGCCCAGGGAAGCAAGTGTCACCTCTCTTTGTGCGGGGGGGAGGGGGGGGGGATCAGGCTTCCTGAGGATAGCCTGTCTGCCAGGACTTCTTGGCCTGTCCTACCATGTGCTTGTACCTTCCTGTGTGTGTATGTGTGTGCCTGTGTGTGTTTCTGTGCGTGTGTGTGCGCGTGCGTGCATGTGTGTGTGTGTGCGTGCGTGTGCATGTGTGTGCGTGCGTGTGTCTGTGTGTGCGTGCGTGTGCATGTGTGTGCGTGCGTGTGTCTGTGTGTGCGTGCGTGTGTCTGTGTGTGTGTGTTTGTGTCTGTGTGTGTCTGTGTCTGTGCGTGTGTGTGTGTGCATTTGTGTGCGTGCATGTGTGTGTGTACGTGCGTGTGTGTGTGCGCGTGCGTGCGTCTGTGTCTGTGTGTGTGTCTGTGAGTGTGTGTGTGTGATTGTGATTGTGTGTGTGTCTGTGCTTGCGTGTGTGATTGTGAGTGTGTGTGTGTCTGTGCTTGCGTGTGTGTGTGTGTGTGCGTGCGTGTGCATGTGTTTCTGCGTGTGTCTATGTGTGTGTGTGTGTGTGTATGTGTGTGGATGTCTAATATACAAGAAGTGAACAAAGACGGTTCTGGTCCATTTGCACAGTAGCTCATTGACGCGGCAGGTTTAGGAATAGGGTCATACCATGACAGATTAGGGGTTAGGGTTAGGGTCATACCATTACAGATTAGGGGTTAGGGTTAGGGTCATACCATGACAGATTAGGGGTTAGGGTTAGGGTCATACCATGACAGATTAGGGGTTAGGGTTAGGGTCATACCATGACAGATTAGGGGTATATACACCCTCCCACACACTGACTACACACCCTCCCACCCCACAATTAGAGGAGTGTCGTCCACAATACATTCAAAAGCAAAAGGATCAAAGGCAAACTAATGGCTCATGTATGGGATGAGCCTATGAAAACACTGAAGGGACCTTGAAGCTTAGCATGTAGCCACACTGAGTGACACACGTCACCCTGCAATAAGGACGACTGAGCTCTTTAATTGCGCCATTAAACTCTTGTTTTGTTGCTAGTGACACCGTAGTCTGGGGTGCCATAAACTAAGGTGCAGGCCTCAAGGATATTTGGGCTATTGCCTTGATAGCCGACTTAATAAAACCTTAACTTAATACCTACTGTTTAAAGGAGAAACCACAACACATCGATATTTCAATTCCAGTATTTATTGCCAGCCAGACTGAAGCTACCGCTATTGTCTTTGGTTTAATTTCCTCCCCATTGATTTATTTGTAGAGCTCTTATAAAAGCCCCCATATTTTCCCCTCCCTGGAAGCGCAGAGACTCTGTAAAGCTGCCTCCCTCCTTTCCCTCAACGCCTTTCAATTTCCCCAAACACCGACGTGTCAATGTCATTCACACTTGGCAGCAAAATGAAGTTGAATCGAGGTAATTGAAATTAATTTTCCGGGTGGAGGGTTTCTGAGAAGGTACACCAGCAGATGCGTGAAGTGAGGTGTTCACTGGTGTTTCGGTTATTATAGAATCGCCCTAAAATCATTTCATTGAGCAGTGACCTTTGAGCCATGTAAAGGACACGTGGAGGTCCGTTTGTACCTTCTCTCTGGACCTTGTTCTTCAGTGTCCCTGTAGACTCAGAACCTGTTGAAACCTTTGGAAACTAGCATTAGGGTTTTTTCTTCTTTGAGGTATCTTAGATGGGCCTTCATCTGATTTCCAGGGTGGCCGTAACTCACGTCTGTTAAATCTGTAGTCAGCATTGCAAAGAGCTCCTCTTGGATGCTGGTGTCTTCAGTTCCATGCATGTGAAAGGATAACTCACACATCACGCTGGCTCCTCTTTAAAGGTGGTACGGGCCCCAAGAAGAGAACATTAATATAGACGAGACGTCCTCAGTCCCCCTGCTGATCTGCAGACTCTTCTCTAAATGTAATTGGCTTTGCCATTTACACCAACATTGATTTTTTTGCTGCTGGGAATCGTGTTCTGGTGGCTTCCCAGCCAGTGTCCTGACTCATGGAAGAATGAGGAAAAATGCGTAGAAAACAACAAGGGTGGAATCTGTTGCGTTTTATACCTTGGTGTGTCTGGTCACACACAATATGTTGTAGTAATCTGTCCTTAATAGACAATTCAGTGACTCATCCAGGTTTGATTGATTTATTGATTAATTGATTGATTGATTTTCATATATTATTTTAAATCTGTCAGTCTGGTGTCATTTAAATGCCTAATGTGGCCATTTGTGAATACATGGCGATACTTATGTTGGCATTGGTTGCAAAGACAGTTGCTGATGGATTTTGTGTCCCATAGATGGATCCTGCTCGCTGGTCTCTTAGCATAGGTCTCTGTTAAGCTGCTCCTTTGGTTGTGGCCCACAGCCTTAAACATCTCATCTTCCTGACTCTCCTTCCTGTCTAACAGCCATCCTCAACCCCAAGCAGCCCAAGGAGGCCAAGAGCTTCAACTTTGACTTTTCCTACTGGTCACATACCTCGGTGAGTGGCTGCATCTTTCCATCTCTGTAGTCCAGTTACCCATCTGATGTCTGTTTTAGCGGAGTCATTTTGTCAAATTGGGGTCCCTGTAAAACAGAAAAACACAATAAGATGACCAATTAAACGTAAAGTAATGCTTACAGAAACATGGGTACAGACAGACACACCGAGATACATAATGAAAAACATTTTGTGTTATACTGCATATCCAATGTCGCTCTTGTCGTCCTGCAGCCAGAAGACATCAACTATGCGTCCCAGCAGCAGGTGTACCGGGACATCGGCGAGGAGATGCTGCTTCACGCCTTCGAGGGCTACAACGTCTGCATCTTCGCATACGGCCAGACGGGCGCCGGCAAGTCCTACACCATGATGGGCAAGCAGGAGCCCGGACAGCAGGGAATCATACCGCTGGTGTGGAGCCGCCGGGGAGATGCTGGGCTGCAGACAGCCATGGGGAGGGATGGATAGATAGATAGATGGTGGGATGGATGGAGGGATGTGATAGATAGATAGATGGAGGGATGGATGGGAGATTAGATAGATAGATAGATAGATGGAGGGATAGATGGAGGGATGTGATAGATAGATAGATGGAGGGATGGATGGGAGATTAGATAGATAGATAGATAGATGGAGGGATAGATGGAGGGATGGATGGGAGATAGATGGATGGATGGAGGAATGTGTGGGAGATTAGATTAGATAGATAGATAGATAGATAGATAGATAGATAGATGAAGGGATGTGTGAGAGGACAGATAGATAGATGGATGGATAGATAGATAGATGGATGGATGAAGAGATATGTGAGAGTATAGATGGATGGATGGATGGATGGACAGTCACTCAGTACATGTTCCACCAAGTCTGACACCAACTATTGCATGTGGTATGTGCAAAAAAAATAATGTACATCATGGTATAGATGATCATGATGCTTATACACCTAGGAAGCCTAGAAAGTTCTTTGCAGGATCCTGGAAACGTGGAATCTAACCCATCTCCATTGCTCTCTGCCCAGTTGTGTGAAGACCTCTTTACCAAGATCAATGACAGCAATAACGACAACAGTATGTCCTACTCTGTAGAGGTGAGCAGAAAGCCGGAAGTGATGTCATGACTCGGCACTGTCAGGCAGGACAATGCGACGCCCTGTGTTCTTCACCAGGTTAGCTACATGGAGATCTACTGCGAGCGTGTGCGGGACCTGCTTAACCCCAAGAACAAGGGAAACCTGCGTGTGCGGGAGCACCCCCTGATGGGGCCCTATGTGGAGGACCTATCCAAGCTGGCTGTCACCTCTTACAATGACATCCAGGATCTGATGGACTCCGGCAACAAAGCCAGGTAGCAGGCTAATGCTTTGGTAACATCTGGCAGCGTAGCTCTACCCATTGGGCCTGTAATAGCCTGTATAGACAACCTGGTCTATGAATAAGCTAGGTCTAGTGATGACGTCTAACACTGGACATCCATAATTAAACAGCCAGCATATGTGTGACCGAACGTGAAGTACATTTTCATGCAGACTTGACTTGCAAGGCAGGCTAAGCCTTGAAAGAGTAAAATTGCCTTGCTAAGTCGGCGCCCCCTCAGAAGATGACGCCCTAGGCGGCTGCCTATGTCACCTAATGGGTAGACTGTATGGAGACCATCCTGTATATTCATCCTAATTAGGACTCTCTCATTGGTGTTAGAACAATTAAAAGGACTGAGCTGAGGCTAATCAGGGCTGACGGAGGAACCCCCGTGTGGCAAAGTCATTTCCATGTGTCCTTTTTCCCTTTGAAAAGAACATCTGTTCAGCTGTGAAGGACATTACAGTAGATCACATACGATGGGAACCTGCTGCGCTAGTAGCTAATGCTACACTGATTCGGTGGCTGGTTGATTTGTGTTCAGGCAGATGTTTATCCAGAATAAATCGGACATGTTTCGAAGGGCCCACAGGAGGGACACGCTAACCCAGAGGTCCTCTTTCCCCTCAGGACGGTGGCTGCCACCAACATGAACGAGACTAGCAGTCGCTCCCACGCGGTCTTCAATATCATCTTCACCCAGCGAAGACACGACGCCGAGACTGATAATACCAGTGAGAAGGTAGGGTTATCACGGACGCGGAGCTTCGGAAAGGCGTCCACGGCGTGCCTGTATGTAGTGCTGGTCCAAGTCATAAACGAACTCAGCGGCTGCTTGGGGCCCAGTGACCACCAGGGGGCTCCCATCAGATCAGCCTGTCAGAATAGGAAAGGAGATGACAAATAGAAACTAGATTAACCAAGTTTTGGTTAGGGCCCCGAAAAGGGTTGGGCTGGCCCTGCCTATAATGTGTTATGCCTTTTTATAAACCGTTAAAGCCATGTTTATAATACAGTGGTACCTCAGTTCTCGAATTCATTAGAACTCGAATTTCTTAAAAGTCGAACCAACCAATTTGAAAAAAAATTACCTGGAACTCGATCTGAATCTCAGAAGTCAAACCGTGAACACTGACCTAAGATAACTTGTACGCGCGGGGAAATTAGTCACGCGGCACTTCTCTCAGCGGAAACAAAGGGTAGTGCTTCAGTGTCAGCTTCGCATTCACTGTGATAGCATCATGCATGTTTACACTAGCTGAATACATATATTTAGAGAGTAAAAATACATTTAGACAATGATAGACAGTAACAGTAATTATTATTATATAATAAAATACAATTAAAAATAAAGATTTCTATTTAATTATTTTAATATTAATAATAAACCATTAATACATTTAATTATAATAATATTGTCGTGCCCAGTGGGGACAGAACGGAGACGTCAGGGTATTGGGGAATACGGGGTTTAATTACAGGTAAGGCAGGCAAAACGCAGACTGACAATACAATGACCGGACTGGGGAAACGAACTGAAACGGACTAAATACAGAGGACTAATGACAACAACCAGAAACAGCTGATCACACGGGGATTCCACACGGGGTTAACGAGGGGGCGTGGCACACAGAAGGAGTGGACGATCGGGGCAGGACACATTGTTTTTTTTAACTTTACACATTGTTTGGACACATTTATTTTCTTACTTTTAAAATTACCGTTTTGATAAATGTGCTTAGATGTGTTTAGTACAGTATTTGCTTTTCTTGTTTTGTCTGGTTCATTTTGCGTTTAAATGCTAAAAAAAACATATTTCGGTGTAATTTTTTGGGGCCGGGAACCAATTAATTGGTTTTCCATTATTTCTTATGGGGGAAATTCAATCAAAACTCGAACTTTTTTGAATTCGGTCCGGAGTTCTGAACGGATTAATTTTGAGTTCTGAGGTACCACTGTACTTTATGAATGCATTATAATGCATTTTGAAGGTTTCTATAATGCATTATGATGACTGCTTTAAATAAAGTGTTAAATAAGTACCTGAGCCATTTACTTTTACTGAGAATCTAAGTGTGTGAAAACAATTTGTTATCATTTTTAATTTTTTGAGATTTTTTTGGGGGGGGTGGGGGGTGAGGGATGATTAATTGCTTTTAAGTGACAGCCAATGAGAAATGAAAGAATAGAAATGCAGGTGTGTGCGTGTGTGTGTGAGCAGGTATTCATCACGTTGTGGGGACATTGTGTTGATGAATGATGAATACCTGCTTTTTATCTTATGGGGACCAGTTTTCTGATCCCCATAAGGGAAAACTCAATTTAATAAAAAATCTGCGACTACAATGAAAAAACTAAAACTGCAAAATTTTGCTTGGTTACTTATGGTTATGGGCTTATGGGCTGGGTGGGGGTTAAGGTCGTCATAGTTAGCGTTAGCATTTTTCCCATTGAAATGAATGAGCGGTCCCCATAAAGATATGTTTATCCTACATGTGTGTGCGCGTGTGTGTGTGTCAGCCTGGCCTGTCCTGACACCGCTATGAAGAACATCATCACTGTCTCTTACAGGTCAGCAAAATCAGCTTGGTGGACCTGGCTGGGAGTGAGAGAGCTGACTCCACAGGGGCCAAAGGAACCCGGCTGAAGGTGAGCTCATTTCCTCCCGCTGCCGTCCTCTGGGCCACTGTAGTACACTGTCAAGGGCACCTCAGTACGAGTGTGTAGGTGCCACAGGTGACTGAACACATGTACACTGATATGTCCATCCAGTGACTCGATTTAATGAATTTTCCCTTCCGGTACTCTTTTTCAGGAAGGAGCAAATATCAATAAATCCTTGACTACCCTGGGGAAAGTTATCTCTGCACTGGCTGAAGTGGTGAGCTTCCACATCCACTCGCAGAATTAGTTTGTGATCTGACGTGGACAGATCCGCGTGCTGTGTTCTGTACAGATCCGTCTGTCAGGTGCAGGTCCGTCTGTCAGTCAGAGCTCTGTGTGAGGCATCACCAGTCAGAAACGGATTCTGGGATGCCACTGAAAGACTCTTGGTATCTGACTCAAGGCGATAGATTCTGTTTTGGGGAATTCGCTGTTTTTTTCCCCAAGGATAAATGTTTTCACTGAAACACAGATCTTCTCAGTATTTCTCGTTGGCAAACAGCTTCTGTATGATTATCTTAGGGTGGTGATGTTCTCATGCATATTTAGCTATATATAGATTGTGGTTGTTATTTTTAACACAATTAAAAAACTGTAGAAAAACTCTTATGTCCTATTTCCTTTTAGGATTCAGGACCAAACAAGGTAGGACGCTTCCGTTTGCACTCTGCTTACCATGCACAGTGTATATAATGCCGTTTTCACAATGCTTTCCATTCAAACACTGTATATAATGCCATTTGCACACTGCTTTTCATGCATACTGTATATAATGCCATTTGCACACTGCTTACCATGCACATGGTATATAATGCCATTTGCACACAGCTTTCCATGCACACTGTATATAATGCCATTTGCACACTGCTTTTCATGCATACTGTATATAATGCCGTTTGCATACTGCTTACCATGCACATGGTATATAATGCCATTTGCACACAGCTTTCCATGCACACTGTATATAATGCCATTTGCACACTGCTTTTCATGCACACTGTATATAATGCCGTTTGCACACTGCCTACCATGCACACTGTATATAATGCCGTTTGCACACTGCCTACCCTGCATACTGTATATAATGTTGTTTGCACTTGGTCTTCAGAATATGCTTTATATATGGCCTATACTTTATCTTCCATTTAGCCTTTGTTTTTAGCCTCCCCCCTAACTTAATTTAATTTAATCTTTATTTATCTAAATTCTCTTTTGCTCAGTTGCAAGAGCAAGCCAGATTTACATTACATATTGTACCAGGGTTACTATGCCAAAATATGACAAAAGAAATCTTGACTCTTGTGTTCAGTCCACAATATGTGATTTCCATGACCTTTGTTAAAGTCTTTTTAAGCAAAGGAATGTATTTTATACTCAGAACAAAAAGAAGAAGAAGGTGGAGAGTTTTATTCCGTACAGAGACTCCGTGCTGACCTGGCTGCTCAGGGAGAACTTAGGTACGGACCTCGGAACGCCGTGTCTGTGACGGATTTGTGATTCTCACATTATGGTGTGTACCTTTAATATGCTCCTGGAAGTGCTCCACTATTAACACCACCCCCCTCCACTGCTGCCCTCCCCCAGGGGGAAACTCTCGAACTGCAATGGTGGCCGCCCTCAGCCCCGCGGACATCAACTATGACGAGACCCTCAGCACGCTGAGGTAGGAGGGACACCTAAGTCTGGCGGCAGATACTGGCGTAATGCTGCTGTCTCCCCCTTGTGGGCTTAGTGTGTAAAGGCAGTCATCAGCCTGCTGAAAATAGCCCCTGACCTAATTTATCCGGTGCAGTATTGGTGCAGTGCACAAAATGCCATCTCATCCCAGCGACACAAATGGCCGAAGCTGCTCGGGTGTCCAGACTGTCAGCTGCCACCGGGGGTTCTATCTCATGCCTCTGAGCAGGTTCATCCCCCCCCCCACATCAGGTACGCTGACCGGGCCAAGCAGATCCGCTGCAATGCCGTCATCAATGAGGACCCCAACAACCGGCTGGTGCGCGAGCTCAAGGAGGAGGTGTCCAGGCTGAAGGAGCTGCTGTATTCTCAAGGTCTCGGGGACATCATTGAAAGTGAGCTCATTTGCTGGGAGCAGGGCGGGGGGGGTTGGGGGCGGGGCATGGGTGTTGAGAATGAGGCTACCAGACTATACACTCACTTACACATCTTGGAATGTGCGTCCGACTGAGCATTCGGTATTCGGTTCCACTGCACAACTGAGTACACAACAGTAGTGTTTGCCACCACATAGCCAAACAAATACATGGGGCTCCTGAGACGTGGGCACCCCCTACTGGCCACTAATAGTCACTACACTGGGTGAGGGTGCAGGAGGCCTCGTAGTAAATTTCTGAGTGGGCCACCAGAAACACTACACCCGCCCATGCGGGCACTCAGCCATGTGAGAAGGCGTAAAGAAACTGGCATAGGTCACACCGGGACTCATAAGCAACTGCCCTCTCTTTAGTGGGTGTGGCTTGGTGGGTGTGGCCTGTGTCCTCATTACTGTGGATGGTGCTGGGTGCGTGTCTGTGTCTGACCGTATCCCCTGTCTCTTTCTCTCAGCATGTCGGGGTGCAGACACCGAGGTCCCTGGTCTGAAACGTGTGTATCTTTAGCTCTCCCCTGCTTCGCTGCTCATTTGCGTTTTGTGCAGCACCAGAGGACAAAGAATGTCCTAGAATAGTGACTGCCGTCTACGTTTCCCCAGTCTTTTCCCCCCAGTTTTCCCAGTCTGGTTCTCTCCCTATGTGCGAGAACATGGTCATCGTTTCTTAGGGTTAAACGAAACTGCAGAACCATAGTGTGGGCCGATCACGAGTACCACGAAAATGTACAAAGTGATACGATACTTTATTACTATACCTTTCCCTACCCAACGAGGCTGTACAGTACTAAGCAAGGCCTCATGGGTAAGCTAAGATTAGCAGACGAGCCTGGTTTGGTGGCAGCAGGGGCAGGCATCACATAGTGGCCAGGGTCCAGGCCTCCCCGGGGCCCGCTCTCGGGGGCCCGCTCTTGGGGAACGAACCCCATGCCCACTCTGGTGCTGCAAGGGGCTGCTGTCCGCTAAGCTGCTGCCGCAGTCTGCTGTGAACATGGCGCTAGCGCAGCAGAGCTTCAGGGAGCTGCGTGGTTTGTTTTAAAGACCGGAACGAAACAAAAAGCCTTGTTCAGTTACAGCTATCAAGTGTTTTCATTCACGATCAGTAGACTTTATTGCCCAAGGTATAAATCCAAAACTGACCATTTCAAAAGCAAGCCAAAAACAGCTTCTAATCAAATAAAATTAGTATTTTATTTAATATGAGGCTGCAAACTACTATCACATTACCTGGTAAATTGCTGAGGATGAGGTGCCCTGTTTATAAAAGGCCCGCAATAAAAAATACATTGATACCTGTAACTGATCCGTGCTTCTGCGTGCCACATTTGTTTGTTCGGATGACAGCGAGGCTGTGCCCCCCCCCTCCCGGCCCCGCCCCCCCAGCCTCCAGGTGTGTGCTTGGGCTGGCTGCCCCGCTTAACCCAACGGAAAAGCTGTCAGATGAAGCAGCAAGGCCCGATTTCCATAGATCAGTGGTTCCCAATCCGGTCTTCAGGGACCCGCAGACAGTCCAAGTGTTTGCTCCCTCCCAGCTCCCAGTAAAAATGTGGACTGTCTGGCAGGGAGCTGGGAGGAGCAAAAATGTGGACTGTCTGGCAGGGAGCTTGCAAGAGCAAAAATATGGACTGCCTGGCAGGGAGCTGGGAGGAGCAAAAATGTGGACTGTCTAATAGGGAGCTGGGAGGGAGCAAAAATGGACTGTTTGGCAGGGAGCTTGGAGGAGCAAAAATGTGGACTGTCTGGCAGGGAGCTGGGAGGGAGAAAAAATGTGGACTGTATGGCAGGGAGCTGGGAGGGAGCAAAAATGTGGACTGTATGGCAGGGAGCTGGGAGGGAGCAAAAATGTGGACTGTCTGCAGGTCCCCAAGGACC